TTATTTATTTAAATTCATATAAAAATATAGTGAGTTGGTAGGTGAATATAAGTTTGGCATAATTTGAAAAAATATATCGAATAAAACAGGAAATTCTTCTATTATATGAGTAGCAATAAATATTTTAAAAACACAATAATCTAAAATTTATATTGATTAATTATGATGAAACTGAATACTCTAATACCTCGTATCTTGATACTCTTATTTTAAATTGTTATTTTATTTTAATTAATTTTAGTTAAAAATTCTTTTTTTTTTAATTGTTCAAATAATTTTAAAATTAGTTTTTTTTTTAATAATAAGTTAGTCATAATTCCTAGGAAACGAATAATCCATTCATTACTTTATTATTTGAGTGACTAATGCACTCACTAATAATTTTAGCATCTCAAAAATATACACAATCGCTTAACTACAATAGAGATTTCCACATATAAAGATCATATTTTAGTTCTATACTTATTTTTGCAACATTCCACCATTAAAGTAGAATGTTTACGTTTTTACTTTCTTCAAGTAGAGAAGTTTCAAATGAAGAAAGATTTTAGGAGCTGTATTTGTGTGGAATAAATTTATGGTTAAAATAATAATTTGGTCCCTTAATTTTTAAAATTATATGAAAATTATTTTAAAATTTTAATTTTTAATTTTTAATACTAAAATAATTCTTAAACTTTGAAACTAAATATCAATTTAGTCTTTAAGTTTTGAAGATAAATATTAACTTAGTTTTTGAACTTCGATTACAAATATTAATTTAGTTTTTCAACTTTAATTATATATTCATTATTAGAAAACATAAAATCACTGACCAAAAATCACCGATGTAAGATGATTTGTCGGTGAACTAATAATTTACCGACAAAAAGAAAGTCTATAAAGTGAGAAATAAGAGCATCAAAATTAATTTATATTATTTTACTTTAATAGAAGGACTTTGTCGATAAATTTAGACAACACACACGCATCTTTTGTCAGTAAGACATATAAATATTCTCTCCTCAAGCTCCGGTAGCTTTTTCGGTGCAGTGGACAGAGAGTTTGGAGATCGACGATGGTTTTATCGATAACTTCAAGATCATGCAACAACAACTTTGCCAGTAAGTTGTAAAGATCTTGGTAATATCTACTCAGGCAACTTTTTAGGTGAGTGAGCAGAAAATGCTATGGCTGATGAGGTTTATGTCAGTGAAGTTTGTTCATTCCAACTAGATGTTCATCGGTAACGCTACCTTACTGGTGCAGTCACTCTGCAGCACGTGGTGAAGAGCAACGGTAAGTGTAATTTATTTAATATTATTGTTTTTTATATGTTTTTGCATTGAGTCTAATTATTTTATGTATATATTATTTTTTTTAGAATTTAAACTATAAAATATTGTAATTAGTTCATTTGATATTAGCATTATCAAATGACGAATCATGCAAAACAACCCTTCAACTTGTCGCTTGATGGCAAATTAGCCCCTAAACCGAATTCAGCAACATGCAAACCCTTGAACTATTCAACAATGGCAAATAAGCCCTTCTTTGACGGATGACATCATTATTCCATTGTTCCGTTAAAACTAAAGAAGTTGGGTCTTACTTCACTCCCCATTGAGCAGGAAACAACGTGATGCCTATGTCATCAGACTTATTAAATATTTTTATTTTTAATAAAGCAAAAAAAAAATTTAATAATTTTTTTTGGGTTTTCTTTTCTTCCTTTGTTCTTGTTTTTTCAATGCATTCCCTAATAGATGGTAGCTTGCATGGCTAATAAAGAAACTCAAATATACCTTTCCTAAATTTGTGTGTTATAAGTATTAAAATTTATTCAATTCATAATTTATAATTAAAACCCATCCACTCTAAATAATTGAGGGTTTTTTTTTTAGACTCTTGATTAAGTTAATAAAAATAAAAGAATCAAGTTGATTGATTATTGGTTGTTAGCTCTATAATGTAAAAAATAAGAAATTGGTTGCAAAATTAGAATATTAATTATCTTTTTTTTTTCTCCATGATTTGGTTTCAAGAGAAGAAAAAATCATATATGAGCAAAACAAATTTAATTTTTCTAAATAGTTTTGTTGTTAATTTAATGATTTGTTTTTGAATCCCTTTTTTTTTTTTTTTTGGTTGAGTTTGGTAAGTTAGTTTAATAAGTAGTGATACAAAGATGAAAAAGAGGACAAAGATTTAGGATGAATGACATGGTAATGACAGGATATAAGTTAAATTATTGAATGAGTTGATTCAAATAATATTATAAATCTTCCTAAAGTAAAAAAAAAAAAAAATTATTAAATAATATAGAGTTTAATTTTTAATATTTTAATTAATATGACTCATTTTAAATTATTAATTTAAAATTCGAGTCCTATTTATCATTATTTTAGTTTAATAGGATTTTTTTTGCGAATTTTGGTATAGATAATCAATTAATATGAGAGTGTACATTTTGTAAATTTGAAACAATATGTAGGTTATTTAGGGAGTAGAATTATTCTTTACTTTTGATTTGAGATGGGTCCCACTTCCATTGTCACCCAACAAAAAGGCCATGTAATGGCAAGCTCAAATGTGTAACCCCACTTTAATGAAGGCTCCGTTAGTTGTTGATAGAATAATGATGTCAACCGTTAAGGAAGGGCTTATTTGCCATCGTCAAAGAGTTCTGGGGGTTGCATGTTGCTGAAATGGATTTAGGGGTTAATATGCCACCAATGGACAAGTTGAAGTGTTGTTTTGCGTGACTTGCCTTATCAAATTTATTGTTTTAGATAAATTTTATATCTATAGATGTTTGTTAATAATTTTTCAGTAATTTTTTCTTGTTAAAACTCTGGTGTGAAATTTTAATATTATAATAATTATTTGATGGTAGTAAAAAATTCATCTTTCAACTTCCCATCATGCATTTGCTAGTAAATGATGGCGGGAGGCTCAAAATTTTTGGTTCTTAGCTTCCAACAATCACCTTGTCGATAAAAAATGATGCGGGAACACAAAATTTTCAAATATTTTTGCTTTCGCGTGAAATTTTATAGAACTTATGTGTCTTATGTCGATAAAATGAATACCGACAAAGTACACATAAGTAAAGGGTACAAGGCTCTATATATTCCCAGAACTGCCCAACCCTCTCATTTTGTTTTCGTTTTCTTCCTCTGTTTTCTTCTATTCCCTTATATGTCTCTCCTTCTTTCTATTAAAATGTTGCTCAATTTTATCATATTTATATTTACATTATATTTATATTAGTTTAGGTTTATATCTTCTTAATCTCTTTAATATTTCTCTTCCATTCTTTCTCCTTAACTGATTAAAGACGAATTTGAGTTATTAAATAATTTATTTAAACTTCTATTTTTTTTTATATTGTTGTTTTGTAGAAAACATTATTGGGAAATAATCATTAGATAAATAAATTTTATTTATGTAAACTATAATTTGATTTCAATTATATTTTGGTTATTATTATTTTGTTGAAATAATACATAAATTTTAAATTAGTTTATATATATATATATATTTTTTAGGAAATGGTGCACCATAAATATCAATTCTATAATTGAGGTAATTTTAAAATTTTTTCATTATGCTATTTAATTATATTTTCAATTTGTCCTATAATTCTTATTTTTTAATTATGTCTTAATTATTAGTTTTAGCAAATAAATTCAATAATTTTTTATTTTTTTGTAAAATTTTAATATTATATTTAATTTTTAAAATATTAACAATAATATTATAAATTAAATAATATATAATAGTAAATTGATTAAATTAAATAAATATATATTAATTTTAATATTTATTAATCAAACATTTTTTTAGAATATTTTGGTATCAACAGTACTTTTGTCGGTAACTGG